TTAACTTTCTTCGAGTTTCTTTTATGCCTTCAATGTTCACTACAGGTTCCATCATCCTCGTATTCTCGACATAGACCTCCGGCATCCACTGACAACAAAACAGGTGAGCAAACTTGAGCGCAGACTGCTCTTGACATCCCTGACCCCTTTTTCTAGAAGGCTTTAGTGCTCCGCCTTTCGTTGGACACAGAAGGCATTGCTTCTCACTAATTACCACTTGATTCTTTGTCTTGCACCAGGAGCACATCCAAGATTCATCAACATCATCCTGCACCCCATAACATCTCTGATGAACTGCCATGCTGCACGAACTGCAAACAATCAACCGGTTCAAAGTATCACCAATGTCACCAACACTGCAATAGTGGCACAGAGAAGCTGACCCTTCCACTGGATGGGCAACAAGAAGCTTTTCTAACCCAGCATCCCCACCCAATAGCTTCCTTTTCTTGTTAGGCCTCTCTGTGGTGAGATATATCTTTGTCCTAGAACCTAAAAGCCACTCTATGCCACTAAAAGTAGGACGGGCCTTCTCTAACTTTATTGCTGCTGTAGACAATGCCGCAGTTCCTATGCTATCAACATTCATTTGTTGCTGCTCATTTTCTTCTTGAGCGTGCCCTTCTTCATTGGATGCCCCACTAGTTGAAGCAACTGCACACGGAATATCTACACCTGTATCTACATTATTACCCGCTCCATAAAGTGAGAGTAATGAAAAGAACTTCTCGCTCTTAGAAGGTAGTACAGAAGAAAGTTCACGGAGTCTTTCAATATCATCCACATCTAATTCACGAAAGTAATCCTCCATTTCGGGCCAGACCCCGGAGGCCCGAGACTTTTCTTGCCGCGAAGAAAACTTCGTTTCAGAACCGGCATGAGTCTTCTTGTTCCTCTTCCGGCTGTCTGAGTGCTTAGATAGCAGCTGAGCCAGTCCTCTGGGCAGTGTGGGAGGCGCAGCAGCTGTCTGTGAATCCTCCGAGTGAAAAGAGGAGCGCTTGCACAGCGCCTTGCAAGCCTGCGTGTAGAAATCCATCCCAATTTCCGAGGGCAGGGGCGGTTTCATAATTCCCTCGAAAAAGGAGGACTTGTCAATAATTTCAAAAGTGGGAATCTACGCGCCGAATAAATGCTAGGTATTCCCTGCCGCCGGGCATCTTCTCCTCAATCACCGCCGCCGCGATACCGGACCCTAACCCTAGCCAACAGTATTTCCGACAAGAAACGAATATCGGTATATATATAGATATATATCAGTTCTTGGCGTATATGAGGGGAAGAGCGATTGGATTTTTCGCGAGGAAGGTGATTGTTTTTGTTGGTGTTCTTGTGCGGATTCTGGCCGTTCGATTTCACGAGATAGAGAGAGAAAGAGAGAGAGGATTGGGGAGGCAGTCCGGAACGCGTTCGTGCAGAGAGAGATTGGATGGAGAGTTGTGTGACGGTGGTAGTTGGGAAACTAAGAGAGAGAAAGAGAGAGAGATTTGGGAAATTTTACTAACGGACTGACTCGTTTGGTTATTTCGACCGTTACTTTATTTCGAGCATCATGTGCTCATAAGACAACTGTTTTTTCTTTTTTGCAAAAATGAAAAAAAAAACGCTCGTGAATGGTTCGTGAGTTGCTTTATCAAAATTTGACTCGAATTCCATCACATTTGAATCTGATCGAGCTCGACTTCTTGAGAAAAAGAACTGAAGCCGATAAGGGCTTTTATAGGCCTTTTTATTCCAATTCCAATATTACTAAAATGAATGAAAAAGATAAAAAAGTGACTTGTTTTAAATTTTTCAAAAAATGTGACTAAAAGTCATTTATTCCTTGTTTTTAATCATATACTCCCTCCGTCCCTTATAACTTTGCCAACTTTCCATTTTTGGATGTCCCAATAACTTTGCCACTTTCTCATTTAAGTAAAGAATTTGTGGTTCCAGTTAATTCTCTCTCCTCTGCACAAACCTCAACCACACAGTTTTTACTTTATTAATTCCCGTGCCGGTCAAACTTGGCAAAGTTATTAGGGACGGAGGGAGTAAGTATTTATTATTTTAATATTTCTTTTATGCATTTGATTAGTAGTCCTAACCACCGGCACTCGGGACCACCCACCCCTGTACAACCACTGCCGGCGCCGCCGGCGCCGCAGCAGTCGCCGCCGCCGCCGCCGCCGCCGCCGCCGCCGCCGCCGCAGCCGCCGCAGCCGCCGCAGCCGCCGGCACCGCCGCAGACGCCGCCGCCCCCGCCGCCGCAGACGCCGGCACCGCCGCAGACGCCCCCGCCCCCGGGAGTCACTATCTCAGTGACTCCGGTCAAAGTGACTCTGGTCAAAGTGACTCCGGTCAAAGTGACTCCGGCCAAAGTGACTCCGGCCAAAGTGACTCCGGCCGAAGTGACTCCGACCAAAGTGACTCCGGACACAGTGACAGCCTCCAACTCCGACCACCACCACCGCTTTCTGACCGCCGCCGTATGGCCCACCTGACTTACCACCGCCGTCGTCCGCCCCCTCTCCAGCCCCCAAACTCCCCTCCACAGCCCATAGCCCCCTCCTTAGACCCTTCCCTACCTTTCCCTGGCAAAAATCCCACCCAAGCCATCGCAGTACCTTTGCCTAGGTGAAACCTAGCTACATCATTGCCTATGTCGACTAGATCTAAAATCCGTCGTGAACTATGCACAGATCTGGAAAACCTAGACGACAATCTCATTCTACCATGGTGGTCAATCTCTTCACCGCTTCATCAATCGGACAAAGATTAAAGAAGAAGAAGAAGGAGGAGGAGGAGGAGGAGGAGGAGGAGGAGGAGGAGGAGGAGAGAGCCGGAGCGGACATCGATGAAGGCGGCGACGTAGAAAATCGGTGGAGACGGCGACATGCGATGCCGACAGAGGCTGCGAATTGAAGGTGGAGACGACGACCGATGGAGGTGCGATGATGTTCGATGGATGCTTCATTGGGAAGAAGACGGAGAGAAGTTCGTTTGAGGAAGAGGGGAAGTGTTCGATGGAGATGCTTTGCTGAATCGCTGTACAATCCGTATGTTTTAAATGGATCACTTTTTTGGAATATGGGAAAATTGTCATATTTTATGAAATGAAAACCGTAATAGTGATATGCGGGCAATTTTTTCGCTTTTATAACTTGAGATCAAATTCGAGCTAAAAATAAAATTCATATTTGAACTCGTGAGCTCACAAGCTTGTACGTAGTAATAAATATCACCAAATACCAACCGATCAAATAATCAAAACATCCAACCGAAATTGATGTCATTAATCAACTAATACAATTAGTCGACAATCAATTGTCAAACACTAGACACAAATTATAACGTACACCGGTTTTACAGTGAGCATCATACAACCGCGCTTTTTGTAATTAAATATGTGCTCCAACTCAGCGACAAAGACGCTGAAGGACTACATGTCGAAAGTCGGACGAACCATGAATGCGAAACGTCAAGCTGTCAAGTGCCCGAGTCTCCAAGTTGCGAAGCTACCCAAGTTGGTATTCCGGATTTCCGGTTGGCCGATGCAGCAACGGCAACGCCGCTTGGCCGCCAGCCTCCCGTCGCTGCCCCTTCTTAGTGGGCCTGTGATTTCGATTCTTTACAACCTAATTACCCCTTTGGTGCTCATTTCTCACCTAATGCACTCATCTACAATTTTTTATAATAAATCTATTACGTCCTTCATGATAAAGACATGAGTTTAAGGTATAAACTCAAATGTGTATAATGTCTAAAAGGAATGAACATACACAAATGAATATTGAGCACATTAAAAATGAGTTTTATGTCAAGCTCTGATGCGTATATTGTCTGAAATGAATGAGCATACTCAAATTGAGCTTTTGAATTTTTCAATAATCATTTTGTACGTTATGTATGCTCATTTGTTAATTATCTATTTTGTGCTGATTTTAAAATGTTTTATTAATGCGTATTTCAAAAGTATCATACTACATTAGATTCTTATATATTGAAATCAATTGGATTCGATTGTAGACATAATTTAAGATCTTTTATAAAATAAAAAATAAGAAAAAGAAAGCAAATTAAAAGGTATAAAGCAGAGATCACGATGCATAAAAAATGAGTTTGATACTCACCAAAATTGCATTAATGCTCGTTTAAGAGAAAAACCGTTTTTCACCATAAATTACGAAATTACCACAGGCGGTACGGTGCTACACCCGAGATAAAATATTGGATATATGTTATTGAACCACTTAAGATGTTTTTTTTTTGGCTGTTTTCATTTCCATACCAGATCTGATCTGATCACATCAGAATTAAACAGATCAGACCTGACAAGACTTGAACAGATATAAAATACACATAGACCAAAGGCTTACCAAACCATTTCAGACCCGATCAGATCAGGCTGAAACAGACCAGACCAGAACAAATCATATCAGACCAGATCAGGCCACCAAGTTTCAATCCAAAAGAAAACATCATTACAGCTCTGGTTCGTAGCCAATACTTAACATTATTACTTAGTACTCTGTAGTACTCTATTATTACTAGTATTAAGGATGTTTTTACTTGAAATATAATTCGTCTCAGATCAGATCAGACCAGATCAAATCAGATCAGACTTGGATAGTTATAAAAATACAAAGAGACCAAACATTACCAGATCAGCCAAAATCATATCAGACCAGCAAATTAAGGTCCAAGTAAAAACATTACTCCCTCCGGTTCTTTTTAAAATTCAGTGTTTGACTTCACAGTTATTAAGAAAATAAAGTTAACTTTACTGTAGAGTACACTGTTGAGACATTGTTTGGCACTGTTGAGATACTGTTCGGCACTGTTGAGACACTGTTTGACACTGTTTATCACTGTTTAACAATGTTTTGATGTAGATTTCTTTGCCAAATAAGGAAATAAGGAAGTGTGAAGTTTATTTTAGATCGTCCCAAAAAGGAAAGTGTGAAGTTTATTTAGAACCGGAGGGCGTATTAGAAAGAAGTAAAAACAAAAAGAATCCCCTTGTGTCCGTATCTATAAGCGTAATTTCAAAGAAAAAACAGCCAAATCTCACCCAAAAATGGCGGCTTGTCGCTCGAGCTCTTTCTGCACTCTTCCCTTTTCTCCTTCCAAATCTGCACAAACCCCCGTTTACCACAACCATATCTTGCTCCATAAACCCGTCCACGGCACAATTTTACCACTGGCCACCGAGTACAAATGCAATTCAGTCATCGTCAATAGCACTAAGCGTTCCTTGCCCAGAGCTGTCTTCACTCCGAAAGACTCCGCCCCCAAAGTACTTCCTCTGTTCCTCATTCATATATTTGCCAAGCTAGTTTCATCATCAATCGTCAATACCCAGTGTTAATTTTATTTTAATTTTGATATTTTGGGAATTTTCCCCTTTCAATTCGTTCTTCATCATCTAGTGTGAATATCTTTTTTCCTAGAATTTTAGAGGTTCATTAGCATTTAGCTAGAACCATTCTGTTGGAAGTTTTTGAGAGGCTCAAGTTAATTCTTTGCTTATCTTGGATTTCACACATCTTTTTATTAGCCAGTCATGGTTAGGCTTCTATTTAGGTGAACTTTGATGAATGGTCACTATATTTCCAACATTTCATGTTTTTAACTTCCAAGTCTTGTTTTCCCCTAATCTTCATGTTATACGGTTACAAATAGAGAAAATTGCTCTTTATAGTACGGAGTAGTATAATACTAAAACTTAGTTGTAAAAAATAGGACTACCTCAAGTTTTATTCCTGGAGTAGGATTTTTGTGATCCTTAATTTTGGAAAAAATAGTAATTTAGACTGAAATACCCTTAGGGTTTAACACTTAGGGTTGGTGGTGGCCGGAGGTCCAGCCAGTGCGGGTGACTGCCCGGCGTTCTGTGGTGGTCTGAATGCGAAGGTGGTGGCCGTCTGGTGGATGTTTCTCTCTGGCCATGGAACTATGAAAGGCTTACAATAAAAGGGTGTTTTGGGTAATCTAATATTGGTTAGTCATATTTTTATTTGTAGTTCTATTTAAGGAAAAATGACATGTTTTGCTTCAACTCGAGGACATATTCCTTTTGGATACTCGTTTTTGGATACTCCTTTTGGATACTAGTTATCTTATCTGTAATAAACAAGTTCCATTCTCTTGTTCAGTCCCCTTTCCTCCTAACCTATGGCTTTCTTCATTTTCCCCTTTGAATTTTTTGAACTACTACTTGGTGCAGCAATATTACTTTATTACAGTAAGAATGTGTTTGGTTGGGGGAATTTTGGAGGGCAGAAAAGGGGAGAAGGGATTTTCTTTTAATTTATTTGCACATTTAGATGGTTGGACAAAAGTGAAAATGAAAAGTTATATAGAAATCATTTTTATAGTCTAAGACTCATAAATAAAGATATATATCAGTAAAATAAAAATCAATCCTCCCCTTCCTTCCCTTGAAAATCCCCCAGCCAAAGGGAACCTTATAACCTTTATGTGTAATAAAACATGAAATTGGAATAATGTCTTATAAGTTCTATAATACGTAGTAGCATATAAGGACTTGTGGAACTAAATTATCTTATTCTTTGATATCCATAACACTGGCTTATCAATGTGATGTAAATGATCTCTGGCAGACAAACAGTAATGAAGCAGATGAGAAAAACTCTACCAGTTTAACATCCCTTGTGCAAGTTTACAAAGTGGCACTTTTTAACGGAGATATGAAAGGGGTGTCAAAAGTTGAGGCTATGATGTGCCAGATTGAAAAGGAGAAAACTATGTTGGCTGAGAGGGTTTCTGCTTTGTCTGATGAAATTAAATCGGGGAAGGCAAAATATATGCGGTTGCAAGCAGATTTTGAAAATTTCAGAAAACGATACGATAAGGAGAAATCAACAATTAGAAGTGACAGCGAGGCAGAAATAATTGAGAACCTCTTGCCAATTGTGGACACTTTTGAGAGTGCTAAGCAACAGACTAAGCTAGAAACAGAGAGGGAGAAAAACATAGACAAAAGTTACCAGGGTATATACAAGCAGTTTGTAGAAATAATGAGGAGTTTGCAAGTCACTGTAGTGCCTACTGTTGGCAAGCCATTTGACCCATCAGTAAGATAACCCTCCTCAAATATTTTTCCAAATTGCATTTCTTTTAATTATTTTTTCTAGTATTTGTCTTCTCCTGCGTTTGGACCGGAATGGCTAATGTTAGCATTGCTTTAATGCTAGAACGTAATACACAATATGTTTCAGTATTCCATAAATTGGATCACATTGTAGCCAATCTTGATTAGAGTAAAGATTTTGAAATTAACAGATCACCCTTGTAGCAAACCTTCACGACATTCTTTTTAGTATTTTTCTAGAGCTAAAGAGTATCTTCAGGATAGAGTAATTGTACACTTATCACTATACACTATGACTAACTTGATGGTAACTGTAGAGTCATTGTTGAGTTGGATATATTCATTATACTGATGAAACAACAGAAGTACTATGGAGTTATATCCTGACTATACTCTTGCGATGGACAAAAATGTTCAAATAGCTAATTTCCTTTTTAGGAGTCATATACTTCTAAAAGGGGAATAATGTAGAAATACTCTGATTAAAGGAAATTGACAATGTTTTGGCCCTGATTATAAGAAAATTTCACATGTTCAAGTCATTGACGAGCTTCTTCATGTTTGAGGAATACCAAATTTAACTTGATAATTATGGCGTCAACTCTCATATGATGGATCCTCATTTTGATAATTCTTTTTCTTTTGCCAGCTACATGAAGCTATTGCTCGAGAAGAATCTAACGAGTTTCGGGAGGGAGTAATAACTCAAGAATACCGGCGTGGATTTAGGCTTGGAAATCGACTATTGAGACCAGCCGTTGTTAAGGTTTCATCTGGCTCTGGTAATAGGAAACGCTGGCCAGTCCCACAGCAATCTGTTGGGCAGCAGGGAGCAACTGATGGAACTCATGGATGATGCTGCTAATCCTGCTATGGCATGATAATCATAATATTCAAAAATATCTTTCCTGACAACTTCCCACTTCCCAGTGTGGCACTATTTTGGCGAGTATGTCATTGCTAGTTTGCTGTTGTAAACTTGTGTTATATATACTTCAATGAATTTGAAGTATTTTTCTCAAAGTAATGTGTCAGGTGGTCATTCAATGTTGTAAGTCATTTAAACGGTGTATAGTTTTTTGGTTCGGTTACAAACTTTGATTCTTCGTTTCATCATGCTTGGGATTTATTTTAATACTAGTTATCACAACGCGCGTTGCGCGATGGAGATACTGCTTGCCCAATATTTTTTGTTTTTTTGTTAGAGAGATGTTGTGTGTGGTAATGTAGTACACAATTTATTTTTGAAGAAATATAGAGCAAGTGCAACTGTAAAGTATGTTGATTAATTTATTCATGTGTAAAATGATAATGTGTGTACAATTGGAATATGAAATCTTAATAACGGTTCGATTCTTATAAATTATTTTATAGAACCGATAAGGAACCGAACGATTCTTAACAGTTCGGTTCTTATCATTTAACGGTTCCTAGTCTTTAAAAAAATTCTTGCAAATCACGATTAAATTTGTGCCAAAAAGACGTTCAACATTTGAAATTACAATATAAATATGTTGAACATCATTTCAAACCTCAAAAGTTGAGTTTAAAACATAAATACATAACAATTTGGAAAATTTAGTAAATAAAACAAAACAAGATATATTCACTACAATCGGCGACGTAATTAGCCGGAAAAAAAAGTTCAATAAAAAAATTAGGTTTTTTTTAATAAAGACATCATCATCATTGTCATTACCTAGTGCTGCAAAGAGTAAAAATGATATCACAAAAGAGTAAAAATTAATTAGGTCTTTTGTCTAATTTATCATGAGTGACTATCCGGCCCTCTGGAGTTTAGACCAGATAAGAGGCCTAAGAAGCCCAAGAGAACCGATTAAAATGAATAATAATGTTCAATACTTAAATAAATAAACTAAAATAGTGAATGCGATATAAAAATAGATAAGTAAATATATATTGAAATATATATGCTTATAAGAAATATACAAAATTTTAATTATTATATACTAAGTATAACGGTTTCTTAACGGTTCCAGATATATATATTTTTCAGGAACCGGGAACCGAACCATTAATAAATAACTAATAAATGTTGGAACCGAACCGAACCATATCATAACGGTTCGGCCCGGTTCGGCCCGGTTCGGTTCTCCTATTCTTGGTTCCAAAGTCCCAGCCCTAGGAAAAATTAATCATGGAAGGAACTAATAATTTGAATACAGTAGCATATAGAAGTGTTTATAGTTGGGTTTCATATCCATGTTTGACTGTTCCAGACCAATTCTCCTTTGGTCACTTTAATTTCTCTGCCTAACAGAGAAGCATTCTATCTTTAATTCGTTAAGCTGATTTGATCTTTAGCTCTTCAAATCTGCTCTTTAAATATCTAGTTCCATTTTTCTATCTCAAATCTGTGTGATATCACCGCCTTTACTTTGTACAGATCAAACAATTAAAAAAACGGTAGATCATCATTCCTCCATGTAAAACATCCATCGTTGCTCGTTTTAGAAACCTATGGCTTCTCTAAAATCTTCAATTGCGTTATAAGCAATAGCTAAAAAAATATACTAATGTGAGTAATGTCCTTGTACTTAAAAACAAACCGTACACTACTAACACTTATCCAGGCGTCCAAAACCCCATCAGACGCCATGACAGGGGGAGAAGGGTAGAAGAATTAGGAAATATTAGGGCAATAAGTACATAGAAATCAGGGGGAAAGTCATAGTAACCAAGCAATCAAACGCTTGATGGAAGAGAATCACGAGCAAATGAAATGCAAAAACAAATAAAGTACACGAGAATGCAAAACACTTGCTGCTATAGAGATTATAAAAACTGTAGTTAGTAAAAAATTATATCTTAGTACACAATATCTCCCTAAATTTCTATGTTGGCCAATCCATTTATCCGGCCACGACATATATTTACCTTATAACGGAGTATTCATCCATCTGGCATACCATTTATATCAACTTGTCATGCTAACTGAGTAGTGTAAAAATATTTCAGATTAACTAAAGTGATGGCATCTGGTATAAACTACTACGTATAAAACTTGTTTTTAATTCAAACAAAATTAATAAATTGGGAGTAAGGTCTGAAAGTGCATGTTTGCAAAAGGATGAAACAAATCCATCTTTTTATTGGAATTTAGTGCATATAGTTAGTATAACTATCATATGCACTCAGTTTGAATAACAAAGAATCAAAGGGAAGGAACCATAGTTCTATGAGAGCAAAGCTGATTAGCTGAAAACTATGTTTATTTCTAAGTATGCAAGCCTTATCAAGTTTGGGAAAACATATGAAATTGTGGATTTTCAAACGAGGTTGTTTCTAGCCAAACAAAATAGGTAATATGGCCTTGCAAATATACGTTGGTAGAATTGAAATAGATTGTGATAGCAAGCCATGTATCCTTGTCATATAAAAAGATGACAGTGAAGTAGTTATTGTGGGTTTATTTTCTCAGCAAATGAAATGTGGTTCTGAACCTGTACTTCTGTAGCTTTGGAAATGTTTGCAAGAACCTGTACCTGCGGGAAGGAGTCGTCTTCAGACTAAGATATTATATTTCTTCTTATTAGATATTTGGGTGAAGCTATTCATGTGTCATAGAATATCATTTTATATGAGTTTAGAGGTGGGGACTTTCTAGCATGCCAAGTTGCTATTAAGAAAACAGCTCAAGGTGCAAAGAAATATGAAGGCTTAAATATGCAGATTACATAGAGTAAATGACCCAGATAATGGGATAATATCCCAAACAGTTAAAGTGCATAAACCATCTGTTATGTACATTTTCCCAAATGTGAATGGAAACTGCTGCACATTAGTTTGCTATATCATGCTTGATTTGTGTCACATTAAAGATACTACCAAGAACTGCATGCATATGACTGTACTAAAAGCAACAAATATATGCGTTAAAAGGATTTGTGTTGTACATAGTGTTATAAGCACAACTAAAAAACCTAGCTTTTTACTCTCCAACCCTACTTAACACCTTCATGCACAATATTGACAAGAGAATTCAAATATCAGTGTGTGTGTGTGTTTACCCAACCACATAGGTAAATGGAAATGATCTACACACGTCAATTAATGTGGACAAATAATATATACTGAAACTAAAATTTGATAGAAACAAGATAGACCCCACTTGATAACCACTTTTATGAGAGGAACTTAGAGGCTATTATAGAACTGACTTGTATAAAAAGTTAATTAAAAAGATTGTACAAATTTGAGGATGGTAAATGACTTACAGCAAAAAGAGGGACAAGGTCGAGAAATTTATATTGACACTCCATGGCAATGAATTTATGATCGCAACACTCAGGAAACAATCATAGGGCTCCATAATCACCAATTTACCACTACGGAGGGCCTGCAAACATCGGAAGAAGAGTAGCAAACATGATGATATTGAGTGAAAATAATATTAGATTGAACCAAATAAAAAAAATTGACCTGCCGTGAAAAGTAGAAACACAGATTCAGCGCAGATGGAGATGAGGTAACTGGTTTTCTTAACACTGACTGCAGTTGTTACTTGTTAGAGTGGGATGCCGCCGTTTCGTCTTTTGGGATGTAGTTTTCAATGTAACAGTCGAGCATATATACAGATTGATAGGGTTGGAAGTCAAAACAAAGATGTAGACGGAAACAAATACTGACGGGAAGATTTTGAGTTTTAATTAACGGAAAGCCACAAAGACCGGACAAAGGAAACGTGAATGGTACAATACTTTAAGCAGAATTTACACTCAAATAATGCCATAGAAGTACACCAACAAAATTTTATACCCAAAAGGGTATTAACCCTCATTCACCCTTATTAGTTTGTAGAGATTAATAAGCCAATAGTTAAATCACGCATATGTCATTGTTTTTCTTATTAAAGGTCCCATTTCTCGTAATGACGATCTTGGTTGCCTATTTTAATTTATTGGGGGTGACTGGTGAGGTTTCCCATTCCTCTAGAAGCTTTCTATATCAAACAAATCATTTTTGTATGAATGGGTGTAGGATGTTTTCTTTTGGATTGAAATTTGCTGGTTTGGTCTAGTTTGAACCAGTTTGTTATAATCTGGTAAATGCTTGGTCTCATGAGTATAGTAGTGTAAATTTATTACTTTTATACCGGTTGATGGAGTATATGGCCCAGGAACCCCCGGCCCATAGACTCCTACTTCTCCTACACAAGTCCATTAAGCCCAGAGAACATCTCAGGCCCGAATACAACGGCTCAAGCCTCAAAGTAACCCAGAATACACACTGGGGTGCCTTCGGCCTCCTTGGCCGAAGGCTCCAAAACTCACAGGATAGCCTTCTCTGGCATAAGAAGCTGCTGGGAGAAGACGGGCGAAAACATGAGCCTTCGGCATTTTCATGCCCTCGGAATCGGAGAAGCCTTCGGCTGAACCAAGCCCTCGGCTACAAGGAACCCTCGGCTACACAAGGAGCCCTCGGCTAAACAAGGAGCCCTCGGCTAAACTGGCTCAATCATCGAAGATTCCTTTTAGAGACAGCCAACCACCGCATTTAATACCGCGTCGCATCCACCAACCGCATTCAATGCGGTTGACGTACCACTGCCGGTGCCACTGGGCTGATGTGACCCTTCGGCCGTTGGATTGCTGACACGTGTCCTCTCATCGCATTTATTGCTGCTATAAATAGCAGCCTATTTCTCCTTGTAAAAAATAATCTACATCTCAACTCCACGCTGAGTTCATTTAATAAAATCGACTCTCTCTCCTCCTATTCGCTCTGACTTCTCTCTAGTTATTCCCGTAATAACCCCTCGGATAAGATACCCCCCGGGTAGACTATCCATCATTTGGTGCTCTCGTTGAGAGGTCTGAACTATCAAGTAAGAAACCCTCCCCCTCTACCAAATACAAAACACTTGCCAAAAGATGGGAAGAACCACTCGTGCCCAATCCAAAACTCTGGAGGAGAATCACGTCGCCCCCGGCGAAACCAACGGGGCTGAGGCCTCCAACAGGCTCTTGGTACCCGAGGGTGGTGTCATCCTTGAGTTGGAGCAGGCTACCGCTGACCTCCGTCAGCAGCTACAGAAGAACGCCCCTGATGCCCGCATTGGCCTTGATAATCGAAGGAGGGATCGGAGTGAGAACCAAGTTCCCCCTCCGGCCCCGGCCATCGATCTTCAGGCTGCCTTTGCGGCCTTCGTCCAAAACATGGCTCTCAATTCCGGAGCCCTCGCCTCCCAGGCGCCCCTTCAGCCCCACGCTGGAGGGAATGTTATCCAACTACCACCACTCCCTCCTTTGTTCAACAGTCCTCCCCCGGG